GTAACTCGTTTGAAACAACGATAATTGGTCGGGTTCGAGGACCAGACGGACGACGGGGAACGGATTGGCGATTGTTTCTCGGGAGCTTCTTTCGATGCACGCAAAAAATATTCGCAAGCTGTTCTCTTTCTTTTCACTCCTTTTTTTTTCCCGAACCATCGCCGCGTTATTCGAATATTCTTTCCGTCGTACCTATACAAACTGAATTTTGGCAGATCTCTCATTCGTAGGTGCACCAATTGGTATTGGACCTGTCTAAGACAACTTCTTTGCAGTCTCACATGGATAATTCGAAGACCACACGCGATTGGTCTTTGCTGAACAATTTTTAATTGTAAGGGAGAATTTTAAATGGGATAGTGACTTTGTTGGGTACCAGATACCAGGGCAGGCCGCAAAACCACTACAGTTAATGGTTCCAGTCTTTCCTTCTGGCGAGTTTTCCATTAAACATCACCTTCACCAACTCTTCAAACTACATCTCAGATACCATTAACATGACCTAACCCTAACCCAACCTAATGATTACGTCGGTTTAGGTTTACCTGTAGCTACTACCACATCCTGTCTGTGACCGACTGCAACTGAATAACGACATTTTTATTCGTTTAACACGTCTAAATTTGGTGATTTGTACTTAAAAAAAATGGAAATATCTCCACAAAAATACGTTACATGCCTTTTTATTACGCTAAACATTGTTATTATAGTGGTGGCAGTAATTTTCTTCGGTATATTATGGTAAAGTCATCATAAGGTCGTCAGTCTTAAGTCTGATTGGACAATGCACCTCCACTCTTTCCTATCTTGAGCTGAACTAGAGCAACCCATATTCTTTTTAATTATTTGCGAAAAGTAATCTAATCTAGGTCTACCTCTATTCCTTTTAACCCTTGTTTCTGCCTATGATATGTCTCTGAATAAATTTCATGCCTAAGACGGTGTTCTACCAACCTATCTCGTCTATTTCTGATTGAGTCCTCTGTTCTCCTATACTTTCTAATACCTCCTCATTTCTAACCTCCTCTATCCACGGTATCATCATCATTCACCAGTAACACCACATTTCGAACGTTTCTAACCTTTTGTTTTTCGCGGCGCCCATTGTCCATGTTTCGCACCCGTACAGCGCCGCACATACATCTTTAACAATCTTTTTTGAATTTCTAAATTAACCGTTCGCAAGCATAGAAGTAATTTCTTTTTATTGAAGGCGACTCTATCCTGCGCTGTCCTCTGCTTTATATCCCTACTACTCCTTCCGTCCTGACTTATCTGACTTCCTAGATATCTAAAATCAGCCACTTCTTCTAATCTTTCGTCTCCTATCTTTATATTTGCTCTTTCCCTACTTTTCCTTCCCTTGCATACCAGTATTTTTAGGTATACTAATCTTTTGCCCCTGTATATCTATCCCTACATAGATACATACTCTTTGACATACAAATTAAAAAGAAGCGGTGACAGTGTGCATCCCTGTGTGACTCCCTTCCTAATATTTACTTCTCTACGTTGCAGCTCCAGCTCTATAACTGCCTGTTGCTCTTTATACAAACTAAGTATCACTCTTACATCTGTGTAACTCATCCCTACATTTATAAGTATATTTAACATCCTGCCCCATTTAACAATGTCAAAAGCTTTATGTTAACTTATGTAAAGGCGGCATTGACTTTGTAAGCTTTATTGTTGTGTTAGGTTCCGTTATAGATAGTTATTTTACCATGGGTTTATAATAAATAAAAAAGGTATAAATAAACCTGACCAATTAACCGCACGATATGGTCCTTAGAGGTTTAGAGTGTAAATGTTAAATTCTGACTTACTTATTCAAAGGGGGCCCCCATCGATCCAATTCTGCGTCCGCTTATCCTGGTCCAAGTTTTTACAAAAATCTTTCACTTTTTTCTGTTTTCATTTCTCCGGTCTCATCTTTCTTTCCTCACCTATTCCTAATGAGGCTAAAGAGGGTCTTCCGCTCTACCTTTGGGCTTTGCACCACAGAATAGGCTGGAGGGAATGCTCGGCCACCAATATTAGTATCTGTAAAAAGTACACTTAAAATAGATTTGAATTAATTAGTGATATCGATATCTTTAGTTTTAAACCAGCGATGAATTCCTAAATGTCTAATCAGAAACTATAACATTATTAACGTAAAAATTAAATACTTTTCGTATGGGATACGGTTAGGTATTTGCTTGACCTGTCCTTGACATCGAGTTTCAAGAATATATTCATACACATAGATAGTTAATGCAATCACTAAACTATTTGTGAAGCTACAACTCTTATTGTAGAGATACCTATACGTGCTAAAAATCATCTGCTATGTGATACGTATATAAATTATAATTGCCATAGTACATAGCTCAAATCATGGTAATTCCGTAATTAATACGTTTAGTAATCTTAACATACCTAGCACCCCACCTTATTATCATCATAAGGTAAGTCCTAAGACTGGTTGGACACATACCTCCACTCCACTATATATATCCTTACTATTCCTTTCGTCTTGATTTATCTGATTTTCTAGATACCTAAAATCAGCCACTTCATCTAATTTTTCGTCTCCTATCTGTGTTACTCATCCCTATATGGATTACATCACGTATCAAAGTCAGGAAACATAAGTATGTCACATCACATAATAATTTTTACATAGAACTTGTTCTTCCCCCCTATCAGTCACTGAGCTCGAAACTGTTGCTTCGAGTGGTTGAAATTCAGTTTTGTGAACAATACTGTGACGTAGTGTCGGCCATCATTCTTTTCTAATTGTTGCTGTTGTCGGCCATAAATAAAACACGCTTTGAAAAATTGCTAGATAAGAATTTAATATTCTGCAATTGTTTCGACAGGATTAAGTATCTCTTCTAATGAGCTCCACAATTGAGAACATAAAATTTAGCTTTTTCCAATGGTTTAAGTCAAATTATACCATATAATAAGTGCGGCAGGATGTCGTGAAGCGACATGCGTTTTGAAGAAAATGTGTATAATTTATATAATTTCCAGTCCTTTATAACCAACTTTCAAATTCGAACGCGCAAAATTTTGCTCTTTAAATTGTTTTAAGTCAACATACATCTGTATGACAAAAGCGCTATTGAATGTGGTAATATTGATGTTGACGAAAGTTTGTTTTTGCGAAAGTGAAGGAAATGATTCATAATTTTTAGTTCTTTTTTGACCAAATTCCACAGTTGGACGCCAAAAATTTCCCTCTTTATAGTGGTTCAATTTAATTTATTTTTACATTACATGAGAGCGAGAAGATGTCGTAAGGTGACATTCATTTTACCGAAAATGTGTTTTTACGAAATCGAAGGAAATTATACATAATTTCTAGTCCATTTAAAACCAATTTCCACATTTGGACGACAGAAATTTCTATCTTTATAGTGGTTAAATTAATTTATATTTCTATGTTAAAGGTAACCAAGACAAGATGATATGTTTTGACGAAAATGTGTTTTTGCAAAATCGAAGGAAATTATTCATAATTTATAGTGCTATTTTAATCTATTTCCACATTTGGACGACTGAAATGATGCATAATTTCCAGTCCTTTATAACCAATTTTTAAATCTGAACACGTAAAATTTCGTTCCTTACGGAGACGTTTAGGACAATTTATATTAACATAAGATGTTTCTGCGAAATTGAAGGAAACAATTAGTAATTTTTGATCTTTTTTAACCAATTTTTAAATCTGGACGACCAAAACTGCGCTCGCCACAGTGCTTCAAGACAATTTCTATTTGTATGATATAAACGCCGCAAGGTGACATGAACTTTTGACGTAATTAAAGCATTGTTCTATAAGGTACTGTTTTTATTTGCAGCAATATGAACCATAAAAAAAATTATTTTTTGTTAATTTGGTTAGCTATGGGTTAGGTTTAGTTGTATTACTTTTTTTTGCAAACCTTAGAAACTATACGAAGGAATGGTTTCCAATAAAAATTCGAACATAAAATTGGACTGTAAGTAAATATTAATTTAGTTAAGTCTATTATAAAAATAAAATTTAAGTCCATATATTTAACAGAAATCCATTTTAGCTTTTATGTATGTATTGGGTACAAAGCTTCTGTTTTGATTTTTAATCGTACACTCTGTATATGTAGATCTACGTATATATATGTAGAACTGCATACATTATCGAACGATACCGGTAAAAAAGCATTTTTTATTATTTATTCTATTTAACGTTCAGTTTAAAGAGTTAAGAAAGACATTGCCGTAAAACTTAACTAAAACAAATAAGAAAAATTCAAATGTGGCTAATACGATTTCTTCAAATAGTACCTAATAAAGATATATTATTTTTAGTTTAAAAAATTGCATCAAATATTCAATTCTTAAAACCTCAGTATAATTCTTTTGTAAAGTCTTATGTGAATGTTACCATTTTTAAGATTTCAATAGGTAGGCATTAAAAGAAATATTTACAAACCTGCAACAACAGTGTCACTTAAGTTGTACTTAGGATACACTTTTGGAAAGTCTTTCAATTTTCTACCACTTAATTTTAATTCACCACTTTGATCCGCATCCTCTAGTATTCGTTCTAAAGAACGAGTTAAATGATTTTGAATATGTCCACAACTATTATTTGTCACCAATACTGCCATGTTTGCATGGCTATTTGCTATATTACCTACCACGGCCAGAAAACTACAACAGATCTTTACCAAATTCACGTTTCAGGTCTCACCTATGAGCCTCACTCACGGATTCATGCAGTTCCCAGAACAAATGACGGAAACAAATATTCATAGATAAGCAACCGTTAAAAATAAATTTAGCAAAAGATGGCAGTAGCTAAAGACATTTAAGTAGTATTCTATCTTTGCGATCCATATAATTTATTGGATATATTCTAATAATTTATTAATTGGAATTTAATTTGAAAAAAGAAGTAACAGCAAATAAATATAGTGTCTCTTGTGTTTGGGTTTTTAAACAAACATGTATTAAATTGGTTACAAACAAATAAGACCGCAGTGCATAATTTATTTGTGGTATACCAATGGTACACACAAAAATATAGATGTTTCCTCGTTATAAACATAAGCTAAAAATGTTTTTACTCTTTTTTGAATTGTTGCATAACATTAAAAGTTTGTTTTGTACTTGCTTAAATAATAATAATTATAATAACAACATTTAAATTTTCTGATAAAGTTTAACTGAACATACCTATCTAAAGCACTACTGAGCTAAAGCCTACAGTTTCTATTACCATTCAGCAGTTTTTATCATAGAAAATATGAAAATTTAGGACATCACAGTAACCCATAGATAATAGATACACAAATAGTAACCATAGCCACAAGATAGTCTATCTAATCTATGAAACTTATCTTATCTGTGAACTTATCTATGTCCATTAACAATAAGCCGATAAGCAGCCAAAAAGTAATAGTGACAAAAGCATTTTAAAATTTTGTGTAGGAGGTTATTTTGTTGAATGATAAATTACCTATTAATAGAAACAGGAAAAAAAGTTGGAGAATAAAGAAAAGGGAACTAAAAAGAATAATAAAATAAAATCATGACAGCCAATAATACAAAAACACCAGTAATGATTTTACAAGAATTAACCGTAAAGAATAAGTGGCCTCCACCGGAGTATAAGTTAATATTCGCGAATGGGGGAACCCACGAAAATTTGTTTATTTACGAAGTTGATATAAGAGGTTTTATAGCAAAAGGTTCAGGGACGTCAAAGCAAAGGGCTAAACATCTTACAGCTGTAAATATATTAAAAATTCTGAAGGAAAACGAACTTTATGAAGAAAGCGCAGATACTGTAGTGATAGTTCCCAAAGAGACTGAAATACAGCCTACATCGAGTAGTATAATAACTATGTTAAGAGAAATTTGTATTGAAAATAAATTGCCAGATCCAACTTTCATAGAGTTATCAGATGTGGGTCCACCTCACCGAAGAGAGTTTACTTATGAATGTAGGCTATGTTCATTAACAACTAGAGGTCTTGCTGGAACAAAGAAGCAAGCAAAACAAGTTGCAGCTCAAGAAATGTTAAATAAGTATGTCTTACACATTTAATTATACATATATTCATTTTTTCCATCTCAAATTATTGCAACTAACCTATTTGTATTAGGAAGTTCATAAATACAATTTAATTGTGTTAGATGTATCAAAACGTTTCGTTTATTTTGTAAAATTTCGGCATATAACATCTTCCACATGTAAGGTTTAAAATGTTTATCTGGACACAAAATTTTTTTATAAATATACTGCTGTCTAATTGTTTAGTATATTGCTGTGGATATATTAATTTAAAGAATTTTCGTAGAATAACATGTATAATTTTTCATTAACAGTGATCAGTTAATATGAATATACTAAGAGCAGTTGTGTTAAATAATGTTCCTCATGTGTAACATGCGAGTTTTATCATTAGCTTATTGTTTAAGTAAACTTTTACAAAAATTTATTACATTGTGTTTGTTTAATAGTGCATTGGTTACAGGTTGAAGAGTGCATTACCAACAATTGTAGAACAGTGCGGCTCCACATTTTCAGATACAATGGATTTAAAGGAGCTTGAACAGGACGTCATCAATAAATATAAAAAGATAAGGCCATGTACTATTCCAAAGCAAAATGTGGGAATTAAAATAGCAGATTATGATTCAGTGTTTGCCAGTTTAATGAATGAAAGAGATGTTGTATTAGCAGATTTAAAAAATACTTTAAATCATTGTGTAGCAGAAGATAACTTAAGTAGTTTTCTTAAAATATTAGAACTTGACTATGGAATTAATTTGCTTAATCCTGCCCCAACTGCTATTGTTGCTTTGATAATCAACATTGACGTTCCTTTTACAGTTTTTGGCAAAGGAGTCACAGTAGAAGATGCTTCACATAATGCTGTATGTGCCGTTGTCGACTTTTTAAAATTAATAATACAATAAGCGGTTATTATTTTAATGAATTACGTAACTATTTTAAATAATGTAACAGCAGTAAGCATGAGTGTTGTGATATTTTACTTAATATTATCAAATATATGATAAAAAATATTTTTTTTATTTTTTTTAATTTTGAAAACGTATTGCAAACTAATCGAAATAATACAGATATGCATTTAATTAGTTTTATATTGTAAGAATTAATTTTTAAATCGGGCTAAATCGAAGTGGACGCTTTTTTCAATAAACAGCAATTTGTATGTCAGAACTGCTAAATGGGTTGCCTGACAAATACGAACAAATATATTAAATACATTTCCTTGAAATATCTATTTGGTAAGTACCTACTATTCTATATTTCAAATCAGAAAAGGACTCACCCTTCATTTCTTAAATTGTTTTTTGATTGATTTTCCTTTCAATTGTTTCTTATATTCACTTCAGGTACTTTAAAAGTCATTATATGTAAACATTTAATTTTTTTGAAATTTGAATGATTGTGATAAGTTGAATTTTAATAATCCTAATTTCCCAAAAAAAGATTCTCGTAACTCATTAGGTACGTCATTGGATGTTTATGAAGTAGATAATTGTTGCATCACCAGAAAATTTTGTTTACACATTGAATTTTAAAATTAGCTAGCATTCGTGATTGATTTTAAAACAAAAAATTTATTTTATAATTTTTCATCTATAATTAAGTTCTTAAGTAAGCATTATGTTAATAAACTAGTTTGATGTTTGTTTAGACCCGTGTGGTGGTGTCGATATTAATGAATTGGAACACGTGCGATTTTCAGGAATAGAGTTCCTATGTAAATTACACTTAACTTTGGTGAATCAGGCATCAATCTATTGTCTCATTTTGGTTCCGAAGTTTACAGGTGAAGTCATCCGAGTCTATCCGAGAGACTTGCCGGCAACACTATTATTCAGAAACAGTATCGAGCCGTTCGGCACGTTGTAGATAGAGTGTGCGAGGTTAGTGTCGGGAAAGTTGTTGGCTTGGTAGGTTGGAGCCGAGAAGTGCCAAAACACATTTACTTTACGCAGTAATTATATTGCACGTTATGTATCCGCATTTATTATAAACTTTTAATAATCAAATCTGAAAAGGGATTGTGATGATGCTTTTTTATCCAAGTGAACATTAATTGATACGCTGTATGACTGTAGAACTTTACATTTATTTATCGCAAAAATAATTTAAAATGGTCCAACCAGTTTTCGTGTATTTCTTGACTGTTCTTGGTGCCGGATTTGCTATTACTGACTATTGTTCCGTAAATAATTTTAAGAACAATGACGAAAATTACATGCAGTTTACGAAAGAGCCAAGTTTCGCAGAATATGCAGTTGTAGGAAAATTCAAAGGATTACATTGTTGTGCCAAGGCTTACAGAAGCATCGAATGGTAAGTCTTACACATGTCGAAATACCTACCTAATTAAAAAAAAATATAAAACCAACTCTAATATAATTAAGAAATTATATCAGGCTACCTATTGTTTTTTATTATGTATTTATAGTTTTTAAAATTTTAAAATATGTATTACACGCACAAAACTACAGTTTACAATGTACATATATATTTGTTCTAAGTTATGTACTGCAAAAGACACGTGCTTTTTTATTATATCGTAATTTTAATTATTATACGTAATTACCTACCTACTGATGATAACAATTCCAAATTATTGTAAGTTAAAATACACCCAGATATTATTCGTGCAGGTTATTTGATTTTGCACTCAGTTATTGTCAATTTTAGTATAAGATTTTAAAGTAAAAGTTCAGTTAATTTTACGTTAATGTAAAGTCTGGTTGGGTATCTAGGTACGGATGGACGATCGAGAATCTGTCGTAGCGTTAGTTAGTTTTAATGCCTTTCTTTTCCATAAAACATATTTCAAAGTATCATTTCATAAACATTTTATGACAACATAGTAACTCCTTACAAATGAAAATATCTGGGTAGGTATGTAGATGCATACATAACTGTATAAACCTATAGGTTTAATAACAAAAGAGAAATCCGGGATCGATATAGAAAATATTCTCATACTTTGCGTTACATTACGTTTTCCTTTTTTAAATAACGTTTATTAATAGAACATTCAGTAGATATTTATTGACTTTCCGATGAGACCGTAAAGTCGTCTTTCTGAGAAAATCCTCATTAAGAAATGGCAAAACCCTGCTTTATTATTACAGCAAAATTTTGCACTGTTATAAATATAAGCAGGTATTAAATACGCGTACCAAATGGTGCAATAATATGTATTTTAGGTATACATTATTGCTTTTACTTTACAATAGTTCTGCTAAGTTAATTGCTATTGTAAAGCAATTCTTAGGTTTCTGTTATTACAGTGAATGAGCCATAAATAAATTTCTGTCACAGAAGTCATTACTTTTATACCTATTCAAGTTCCTTTACGATCATGTTGTAACAGCTTTTAGGCTAGATATCAAAAACAACGTTTTTCCGTAAAGGCGGCATTGACTTTGTAAGCTTTATTGTTGTGTTAGGTTCCGTTATAGATAGTTATTTTACCATGGGTTTATAATAAATAAAAAAGGTATAAATAAACCTGACCAATTAACCGCACGATATGGTCCTTAGAGGTTTAGAGTGTAAATGTTAAATTCTGACTTACTTATTCAAAGGGGGCCCCCATCGATCCAATTCTGCGTCCGCTTATCCTGGTCCAAGTTTTTACAAAAATCTTTCACTTTTTTCTGTTTTCATTTCTCCGGTCTCATCTTTCTTTCCTCACCTATTCCTAATGAGGCTAAAGAGGGTCTTCCGCTCTACCTTTGGGCTTTGCACCACAGAATAGGCTGGAGGGAATGCTCGGCCACCAATATTAGTATCTGTAAAAAGTACACTTAAAATAGATTTGAATTAATTAGTGATATCGATATCTTTAGTTTTAAACCAGCGATGAATTCCTAAATGTCTAATCAGAAACTATAACATTATTAACGTAAAAATTAAATACTTTTCGTATGGGATACGGTTAGGTATTTGCTTGACCTGTCCTTGACATCGAGTTTCAAGAATATATTCATACACATAGATAGTTAATGCAATCACTAAACTATTTGTGAAGCTACAACTCTTATTGTAGAGATACCTATACGTGCTAAAAATCATCTGCTATGTGATACGTATATAAATTATAATTGCCATAGTACATAGCTCAAATCATGGTAATTCCGTAATTAATACGTTTAGTAATCTTAACATACCTAGCACCCCACCTTATTATCATCATAAGGTAAGTCCTAAGACTGGTTGGACACATACCTCCACTCCACTATATATATCCTTACTATTCCTTTCGTCTTGATTTATCTGATTTTCTAGATACCTAAAATCAGCCACTTCATCTAATTTTTCGTCTCCTATCTGTGTTACTCATCCCTATATGGATTACATCACGTATCAAAGTCAGGAAACATAAGTATGTCACATCACATAATAATTTTTACATAGAACTTGTTCTTCCCCCCTATCAGTCACTGAGCTCGAAACTGTTGCTTCGAGTGGTTGAAATTCAGTTTTGTGAACAATACTGTGACGTAGTGTCGGCCATCATTCTTTTCTAATTGTTGCTGTTGTCGGCCATCATTCTTTTTCAATTGTTGCCGTTGTCGGCCATCATTCTTTTTCAATTGTTGTCGCATTGTCACTGATGTCGGCCATTATGGTTTTTTAATAGATGTATGGTTATCAATGATTAAAATTTAAAGGAATTGTTTGTAAATAGATATGATTTGATTAATTACAATCATTATCATTAAAGAAAGTTCGTGGAAATTTCGCCACTTTATAATAGCAACTGCGCTGATTAAAGTGGTTAATTATGGGTATATGTTCCTTGCTTGGTTATCCTGACGAGGAAGATTAAAGCAGCAATGCAAACATTATGATGAAGCATAGCTTTTATAGTTATTTGGTTGGTCGATTCGTGAGACATGAGATCTCGTTAAAAATACGTATTTCCAATCCAGCGCTCTTCTCGGAAGTGGCGTGCCGCTTCTGGCTTACATAAAGAAAACCGATTAACAATGATAAATGTACATACGTACCTATACCTAAATTGCAAATTGTAGGACACACATCGTACAGCGAAAACGGTTCGACCCCCCTTCCTTTGTCTTTTAGGGTTCATCTCGGAATAGCTTCATCTTATCGTTAGTTAACATCATGATTATTATTACGAAGACGCTGCCGAAGAAGATTCAGCGTGCGCGCTTGTAACGTGTTTTCTGCCGATATCGCGGCGTGTTATTATTGAGGTCTAGTTTGTAACTCGTTTGAAACAACGATAATTGGTCGGGTTCGAGGACCAGACGGACGACGGGGAACGGATTGGCGATTGTTTCTCGGGAGCTTCTTTCGATGCACGCAAAAAATATTCGCAAGCTGTTCTCTTTCTTTTCACTCCTTTTTTTTTCCCGAACCATCGCCGCGTTATTCGAATATTCTTTCCGTCGTACCTATACAAACTGAATTTTGGCAGATCTCTCATTCGTAGGTGCACCAATTGGTATTGGACCTGTCTAAGACAACTTCTTTGCAGTCTCACATGGATAATTCGAAGACCACACGCGATTGGTCTTTGCTGAACAATTTTTAATTGTAAGGGAGAATTTTAAATGGGATAGTGACTTTGTTGGGTACCAGATACCAGGGCAGGCCGCAAAACCACTACAGTTAATGGTTCCAGTCTTTCCTTCTGGCGAGTTTTCCATTAAACATCACCTTCACCAACTCTTCAAACTACATCTCAGATACCATTAACATGACCTAACCCTAACCCAACCTAATGATTACGTCGGTTTAGGTTTACCTGTAGCTACTACCACATCCTGTCTGTGACCGACTGCAACTGAATAACGACATTTTTATTCGTTTAACACGTCTAAATTTGGTGATTTGTACTTAAAAAAAATGGAAATATCTCCACAAAAATACGTTACATGCCTTTTTATTACGCTAAACATTGTTATTATAGTGGTGGCAGTAATTTTCTTCGGTATATTATGGTAAAGTCATCATAAGGTCGTCAGTCTTAAGTCTGATTGGACAATGCACCTCCACTCTTTCCTATCTTGAGCTGAACTAGAGCAACCCATATTCTTTTTAATTATTTGCGAAAAGTAATCTAATCTAGGTCTACCTCTATTCCTTTTAACCCTTGTTTCTGCCTATGATATGTCTCTGAATAAATTTCATGCCTAAGACGGTGTTCTACCAACCTATCTCGTCTATTTCTGATTGAGTCCTCTGTTCTCCTATACTTTCTAATACCTCCTCATTTCTAACCTCCTCTATCCACGGTATCATCATCATTCACCAGTAACACCACATTTCGAACGTTTCTAACCTTTTGTTTTTCGCGGCGCCCATTGTCCATGTTTCGCACCCGTACAGCGCCGCACATACATCTTTAACAATCTTTTTTGAATTTCTAAATTAACCGTTCGCAAGCATAGAAGTAATTTCTTTTTATTGAAGGCGACTCTATCCTGCGCTGTCCTCTGCTTTATATCCCTACTACTCCTTCCGTCCTGACTTATCTGACTTCCTAGATATCTAAAATCAGCCACTTCTTCTAATCTTTCGTCTCCTATCTTTATATTTGCTCTTTCCCTACTTTTCCTTCCCTTGCATACCAGTATTTTTAGGTATACTAATCTTTTGCCCCTGTATATCTATCCCTACATAGATACATACTCTTTGACATACAAATTAAAAAGAAGCGGTGACAGTGTGCATCCCTGTGTGACTCCCTTCCTAATATTTACTTCTCTACGTTGCAGCTCCAGCTCTATAACTGCCTGTTGCTCTTTATACAAACTAAGTATCACTCTTACATCTGTGTAACTCATCCCTACATTTATAAGTATATTTAACATCCTGCCCCATTTAACAATGTCAAAAGCTTTATGTTAACTTATGTTTTTTCTACGTTATGAATGAATCCTTTTCGGCGAAGTGGTTTGTTCGAAAAAATTGAAAAAAAGCATTTGAAATCGTTAAATTTCTCCACGAATTCTTATAAACTCGATACAAATATGTATTATATATTCCTAGAAAAATATCAATTCATTTTTTCTGTCAAGAGTTTATGGTTTTCCCTTTGGTTATTGCTTTTGTTGGTATGGAGATTATCCTTTTCTCTCAAATCAGCCGGTCTAATTTTATTTTCAATGTTCTAGATTTAATTTGAATATGTATACAATTCCTTTCTTTCTAATTGTCTTTATTAATTTTGTAGCAATATTTCCGCACTTGCCGAATCATTGAATTTCGATCTTTTGGGTCAAACATTTTATCAATGAAATCATAATTTTTCGTGGACGCGATACCTTACAAAAAATTATAATATCATAAGTTGT